AAAAAAAGGTGAAAATTTGGGTTCGATTGGTGTTTTTGAAAGAAAAATCAAAAACTGCGGGTTATAGTGCAAATAAGAAAATTTTTGTCACGTATAACCGCCCAGTCAGCAACCTCGATGAACGGGAGCACGCGGCGTGGGAAGGCATATTAACATCAGTGCCATCTGGGATGCCACGTGGCCCATCCATGTACCCCACGATCGAATGGTCCGAAATCGATCCATCGCGCATGGACGGTCCGGATTTGTTCTCCCTTTAAATGCGATCGGACGATTGAGATCAAATCGCGATGAATGGACCAAATTCATTTTCTTCTTACACGCGATCGGACGGTCGATATCAAACGTGATGAACGGCCTAAATCAACTTGAGATGGTATAAATATTTTGCATCACACTGAATCTAAACCCTAGCAGCCAGTCTCCCACCGGAGAAGAAGAACCAGTCGCTAGAGAAGGAAGCTTACCGCCGCCGCACTGGAGCCACCTTTGATCGCTGCTGCATCGAAGCCACCTCTGACGCCAAAAAAAGCTAAAAATCCTTCTACCCACTCAAAATTCGATTACGAGCACCCATGTTGCCATATCGGAGAAAAACAAATGATGGGTGAGCCGAAAACTGCGAACAAAACTCGCAACCTCCTCCAATGAGCTCGTTCCCATTATCCATTTTGTGTAATTTTTAAACTGTTGTGTTTACCATTCTATTTTCTACAAGTTGACAAATAAAAACTCAGCCCCGAAGGTGAGTTGGCAGAGCCACCGCACTCGAAAAATCCCACCATCAATAGGTTTCCATTTTCTAATTTTTTTGGTCAACTGAAGTCCCCTAACATACTTTTTCGCAGGGATATGTATAAAGGCGGCCGAAACCAGCCAAAACCAACAAAAAACGGCCAAGTCAAGGCAAACCGGACAAGATATAGGGATGTCCATAGGGATGTCCCAGTATATGTGAACCAATATCCAACATTGTCAACTAACCGACCGTCCTCATACCCTATCCAGTATTTGCGCCGAAAATACCATCTCTCAATACTTCGTCCGGTATGAGGGTGAACCGGGCCGTCCTCATATTCCGTCAAGTATAAGCACCAAAAATACCATTCGTCGATACCTCGTCCACTATGAGGCAACGTTCACGGTAGAGTTCTTTATGTACCTGGTCCGTTCACTATCTCACAGGATATTCAGTAAGACGACCATTCATTAATTCACATAACCAAGTAATTTTTCATTTGTATATTAATTTTAAATTTTATAAATTAACCGTAAATTACGCAAGACAATCAATAAATATACATCAAGAAAGCACAACTGAATTCTTTAACCATTCCAGTATATTCTCATGTATTTGAACCTGTAAAAGCAAATAATCAGTTACACAGGATAAACAAATAAATAACTAACCAATTCCGACTCTATTAGCAACCTGTAATTATTCTCAAAATATTTTAAGTTACACAAATACCATATTATCAATTATTAAGTTTCAATTCCATAATAGAGAATAAGGTGAGGGATTGTTACCTGAATCGGTGTCCGAAATACTGAACTTTCCACTGCACCTACTAGCCGTCCCCAAGTTTCTTGAATTTTTTTGCGGAGATTAAAACACGCTTCACGTACCTAAAAATACCTTAAAAACTATAAATCAGTGTTAAAAATCCTTTTCCAGCCAATTTCGGGGTTCCAACACAGCGACACCGCTGTGCTCCAGCGATAGCGCTGACACCCGCGGGGCGATTTGCCTCGACCTTGCCGTTTTCGACCAGTTTTGGCTGGTTTTGGCCAATTTTATACATACATCTGCGAGAAAACACGTTAAGGGGTCTTTCTTGGCCAAAAAATATATAAAAAAATGAAAACCTACTGGTGGTGGGATTTTTCGATGCGGTGGCTCCGCCGACTCACCTCCACAGCTGAGCGTTTTTCTTCAGTCAACTTGTAGAAAATAAAATGGTGAACACAACGGCGGAAAAATCGCATCAAATGGAAAACGAAAAGGCGCTCATGGAGGAGGTTGCAGATTTTGCCCGTGGCGGTGCCGCCGGACTTTACTCGCAGTTTTCGGCTCACTAGCTTTTTTTTCTCTGATTTGGCCATGGGGGTGCTCAAAATTAAATTCTGAGCAGATAGGAGAATCTTTACATTCTTTGGCAATAGAATGTGGCTCTAGTGCAACGACGGTTGACAATCGGCTCCCTTCTTCAGCAATTGGTTCTTCTTCTCCGGCAGGAGGTTGACGACTAGGGTTTGGGTTTAGTGTGATGCGAAATATTTGTACCCAGCTCGCTTTAATCTGGACCGTTCATCGCATTTGATCTTGATCATCCAATTGCGTTTGAAGAAAAAATAAATCTGCACCGTTCATCGTAATTTGATCTCAACCATCCAATTGCACTTAAAGAGGGAACGAATCTGGGCTGTTTGTTACGTTTGATCGCGACCGTCCGATCGCGCCTGAGGAAGAAATGGATCCGGACCGTCCATGTAAGC